GAAGGCTTGCGATTTACCGATTTACGGTATACCTCATTCAACCTTTGACGGACTAATCTTCAGAGCTTTCAAAGACGGCATCACAGTATCATAATTTTCTGAAAGATCTTTAAAAGTACTAGATAACCCTAATTAGCCCTGGTACATTTTTAAAATTTCTTATGCAGCATTTAGAAACATATACTGTGACAGGCTTTGTCCTCACATTTAAAATGCAAAAACAAACAGAGGTAAGATGTCAGACTCAGAGATTCTAAAGCAGTTAGAAGAGAGAAAGGCGATGTCAATGTTATGAGTACATAGAACTGAAAACACAATGTGAAATTGACGTTGAATGCTCTACCATGTGCAGGAATTTCAGTGTTATGAGTACATAGAACTGAAAACACAATGTGAAATTGACGTTGAATGCTCTACCATGTGCAGGAATTTCAGTGAAGCTGTCGAGACATCGTGGATCTATCTCACAACAGAGGGACGAGGTCACCGTAGTCAAACTGTATGTGGTGTACACGGAGATACTCGTCTTCAAATGCTGACTTCAAATTTGTGTTCGCTATTTGCATATTTTGACACGTTGACGACAGTGTGCATTTTTAGCTATCTGCCTTGTGGGATAGTCCCATCTACAGTAAGTTGAGTATATTTAGCTGAAATATAACAGGCCGTCATCTGCAGTATCCCTACAGTGATTTTGAAAAGCAGCTAAGAAACGCGGAAGTAATTCCTAAGAGTAAAGCATAAAAGAACTTCTAAACCACAGTCATTGCATGACCCACCATGTGGGTCACATTGTCGTCAACGTGTTGAAAGTTATGAGCGTTTTCCAATGACGAAGTTGCACTACCGCGAAGATTCAAAATGGGCCTTGTGAGTTTTTTATGGTTTTTAATGTATTGAATTTATCAAATTAGTCGGAACACAATGTCGAAACATCATTGGCGTAATGCAAGCAACTTGCTGTTAGTGCCCCGCAAATTCCAAAAACGTTCGGAACCTTTTCCAGAAAATTGCTTCGCACAAAACGTGAAAACCTGGATTTGAGATTAGCCAAACACGAGTATCCTCATAAAGATCCCATATGGAAAGGCCATGGTACAGTCGAGTAGATTTCCTGCTTAATATAGTGTCCCTGCAGACGCAACAACGGTTGTGCGTCGATAAATGCCGTTGCGAGTTTCCAAGCAATGCTTTCTTGTATTTTCTTGCTTTATTCTTTACTTTTTAGGTAACTGGTTGCTGATAAAGGAGAAAAGGTGAGTTGAAGAGTATTTTATGTGTTCTGAGTGGTTGTATCACCGCTTATTCTTGAGTAATCTACGTGGAAGCCACGTCGCGTCAGTTTCATGCGTATTGCCTTTCATGTTATGCTTGTTTCTTCTTGTGAAACATTTCTTTGGACGCTTCTAAGCTGTGCAGCAACTTCAACTTCCTTTCAGAAAAAAATAGCATCTGATCGTCTAGTTCGTGTGATAAAGACGATATAAGTCATATGTAAAAGCCTACTAACGTTCAAAGAAATGCTTCACAAGAAGGAAGGACTAACAGGTGACAAAAATATACACAAGAAACTGACGTGAAAGGCATCAACAAACAAAAAATACACATGAAGCTGACGCGAGTAGCTTCCACGTAGATACTGAGAATGGGCAATGATTTGACTACCCAAAAAACAGAAACTACTCTCTAACTTACCTTTTGCTCCTTTAACAGCTACAAATCACTTAAAAAGCAAAGAATAAACAAAGAAAACAAAACAATAGCTGAAACTCGCAATGGCATTTATCGACGCACAACCGTTGTCCTGCAGGGGCACTATATTAAGCAGGAAATCTACTGACTGTACCTCGGGTCATTCCCTTTTCAAAAACCCAGTTGAGTAACAATTAAATGCGTAATAACGACCAAACTCTTCCTATCTTCAATCTGTGGGCGATAGCCTGCATATGCATACACATACAGGTTGTCTCAAAGGTATCGAGCGTTTGATCCGTAGTAAGTCACTTTTATGAAAAGCTTCCGTGGCCACTCAAATTCCATATTGTATACCACCTTAGGTATGCAGAATGGAGCAAATCGCCGATTTCTTCTATTACTGTAGGATACGGTACACGATAGAAAAGTCATTCGGGGCCTATTTTGCCTCAAGAAGCAAACCGAGCAACCTGAAAACTCTTACACCAACCTGAACCGAGACGCTGACATTCAGTATAAGTTTGCGCCTCCGTAATACTTCGTGTTGACGGAGGTCTTTCCGGCGCTTTAGTGGAGTGATGGCTAGCTTGAATTTACCAGACTAAAGGTATTAAGTGCACGAAGCGCCCTGGCGATAATCATGACGGCCCATTCGAGCTCATAGACTACAGTTATGAACGTTTTTATTGTAGCTGTGCATTGAAAATTTTTGAGTCAAAAAATTCGCATACACCCCTTCTAAAAGCGCCTTGCAGGTAATGAAAGCTGATTCGGAATCAGCGTTTTATGCTCTATAATATAGTTTACATTTCCTATGAAAACGCCACTTCGACCGGGCATCCTTTCCTTATCAGAAATGTGATTAGGCCATTTGTAGTCTCAAAAGGGGTAAAAAGTAGAGCGGCAATCAGCATGCTAAAACCCTGGCCCAAAACACTGCAAATTTTTCAATTTTTCTGAATTGGCGGTTTAAGTCGTTCTCACACCATTCCTCATTAGTCGCACAGCGACGAAAGAACAGGAGCGAATCCTCGATTCAATTATGCACACTTTTCTTTATCGTTTTTCACCGTAGTTGTTTGTTAATATTTGTGTTAAGGAGATATTCGTTATCAAAATGGACAAATTTGTTGTTGCCGAGCATTGTTCGTACAGTTATGCTAGTTACTTCAAGTCTGATTAAGGTAAGCTTAGAGAAATGGCACAGATGGGAAGCTTCTGCTTCAATAATTAATTTTGCTAACATCTGCAGAAGTGTTGCTCTAGTGATTGATGTCACAAAGTTTTGCCATCTGCATCGTTTGTAGAAGCCTAATTAAAAACACCTGAACAAAGATCGAACATAACTGCGTGAAAGAACACTCAACAATAAGAGAACACCGATTTTGAGCAAAAATATTGTCGTAATATATGAATTAGCAAGCAAGCTATAAAAGAAAGAAAAAGAAAATGCGTAAATTTTCAGTGAAGGTGTCGCAGTGGCATTATATGCCAGCAATTCCTACTTAATCCGGCATGTCTCATTCTGAATTTTTGGCATGCAAAGCGCAGTGGGAAGTGTACCTTAAGTAGGTTCACTTATACGTTCGCTTACGTTGAGGTGTGTAGCATCCTTCCGCAACATTATGGGCGCCAATTCTCAATGCCTTCTATTTCGGCAAATACAATTCTTATCAAATGCAGCGTCGAGCGCATCAACTCTCCGCTTCCGCGCGGCCGCCTTGCCTAGATTCTGCGTTCTTTCGCGAGCATGCTCTCTGATCACTTTCCCACCGCGAGCGTGAGAAAGACGGAGCCTCAATTGATTGCAAATGATTAGAGAGCATGTTCGCAGAAGACAGGCCTTGCGCGGGAGCGGAGGTGCTGGGGCAAGAGACACTACAATTGATAAGCTCTAAGCCAAAGGCATTGGATTTGCTGTTGCGAATCTAAGCGGCCTCAAAAACAACAGCATTAGCAACACTCATCACAAAACATCTTCGTTTATATGATTAGAGAAACGTTCTTTGTCGTAATAGTGGAAATATTGAAGGATTTTTGAACTATAGTAGCGATATAAGGAAACAAATTTTAGGCTACCGTCACTTTTATCACAGTCCACTTCGCGGAGCAGAAAATGGAGGCATTGTTGAATTTTTTGTGATGAAGCACTGGAAATAGATAGAAATCATCCGATTAGAGGATAGCGCAATGAAAATGTTCTTATTGTGAGTGATATGCTGGTTACTCCCATTCCACTATGCCTATAAGTACATTCGTGGTAGCCGCACAAACCTGTTAACCTTTAAAGGCAGTGGATCGGCAAATCTTAGCGACACGGAAATTTTACGCGATAGGTTGCTTATCACCCAGGTGTGAAAGCAGTGCAGTCCCGGTCGCACAGCATGCCTTCCTTGTCGAGAAAACTGTTCTCAAACTTACACGCGCAAGCCTATCTTACACGCGCTCGGACGAGTTGAACAACGCTTTTCACAGCGTTGATGGCTGCCCGCCGCAGTGCTTTAACCATTGGGTCCCGCCACGATTCGGCTTCTTCAGTCGTGCCCCACTCGTCCAATTTCAAAGCAAATGGCATTGAAAAACGCTCGTTTTCGCAATTTTCAAGCTCTCTGAAGTGGATTTTCGGGATCAGCGCATCGGAAAACCCCAGGTAAGCGAAAATTTGACTAGGTCAAAATTTGCCGAGCCACTGCCTTTAAGTAAAATAAACACGCCTTTTCAGAAGATCCCAGCAGACATGTCAAAGTAGCAAAAATAACTATTGTATTTTCGCAATATGATCTGTACCATTACTCCATTCATACCGCTAAGCTTTTACCATGTGATTTTATCTATGGATTTGAGCTACTTTCAAAAATTACTGTCAAAACTCCAAATCTAGATTAACATTAAATTCGCAAGCAAACCTGTGTTGGTCATAGATATCATAGCAGGAAAGCTATTTAAATTGACAAATTACTGAATTCAAGAAAGTAACCTGTGTGTAGCCGGGTATGCCTGCTAGTAGTGCATAAAATCGCCATATGTCTCGATCATTTTGGTTCAGAAATATTTTAAAATAGAAAAAAGATTGGCACTGATGTCAACCCCTCAGTCGATTTACCTTAGCTTATAAGGAAGTTCCAGAGCGTGAAAATGCTGTGCTATTCTCTATAACCTTATGCTGACTACACCTACATATACACTGATAAGAGGATTGCAAATAAGAATATATACAGTATAAAACGTGGTTTTCTTTTGCGCCGACTTAATACCTCACCTTTTCTTTGCACAGCGATGGAGACGGACAAATTCATGTTTTACAGGTGCTCATTGCTGCGACCCCTCACATACTTCTCAACTTGTTATTGATCTCCTATCTCATTTTTGGTGCGGTCTTTATGCGTTATGTCGATGAAAGCGTTCGGAAAGAAGACTTCCAACCAGCTCTGCTCTTCATTTACACAACAATCATGACTATCGGTTGGTCATCGTTTCACTTTGAATTCCATCATTTCATTCTTTGAAATGGGTCTGAATTTAATTGATTGCACAAAACTTCTGAACTCAGTCACATCTCAAATTTCTGTCTTAACTCATGCGTTGTTTTTTAAAAGTAGAAGAAGGTTTGATTAGCCTGATCGATTAGCCTTCAATATCTCACGTTTGCAAGCTTTCGCGGCCTTTCTAATACAATATTGCAAATGGCTTCATCTTAGATCTACAGTAAACGACGTAATACGGAACTTTTTTCTCACTATAGGATTAAGTAGGAATTGCTGGCATATAATGCCACTGCGACACCCTCACTGAAAATTTACGCATGTTTCTTTTTCTTTCTTTTATAGCTTGCTTGCTAATTCATATATTACGACAATATTTTTGCTCAAAATCGGTGTTCTCTTATTGTTGAGTGTTCTTTCACGCAGTTATGTTCGATTTTTGTTCAGGTGTTTTTAATTAGGCTTCTACAAACGATGCAGATGGCAAAATTTTGTGACATCAATCACTAGAGCAACACTTCTGCACATGTTAGCAAAATTAATTATTGAAGCAGAAGCTTCCCATCTGTGCCATTTCTCTAAGCTTACCTGTAATCAGACTTGAAGTAACTAGCATAACTGTACGAACAATGCTCGGCAACAACAAATTTGTCCATTTTGATAACGAATATCTCCTTAACACAAATATTAACAAACAACTACGGTGAAAAACGATAAAGAAAAGTGTGCATAATTGAATCGAGGATTCGCTCCTGTTCTTTCGTCGCTGTGCGACTAATGAGGAATGGTGTGAGAACGACTTAAACCGCCAATTCAGAAAAATTGAAAAATTTGCATTGTTTTGGGCCAGGGTTTTAGCATGCTGATTGCCGCTCTACTTTTTACCCCTTTTGAGACTACAAATGGCCTAATCACATTTCTGATAAGGAAAGGATGCCCGGTCGAAGTGGCGTTTTCATAGGAAATGTAAACTATATTATAGAGCATAAAACGCTGATTCCGAATCAGCTTTCATTACCTGCAAGGCGCTTTTAGAAGGGGTGTATGCGAATTTTTTGACTCAAAAATTTTCAATGCACAGCTACAATAAAAACGTTCATAACTGTAGTCTATGAGCTCGAATGGGCCGTCATGATTATCGCCAGGGCGCTTCGTGCACTTAATACCTTTAGTCTGGTAAATTCAAGCTAGCCATCACTCCACTAAAGCGCCGGAAAGACCTCCGTCAACACGAAGTATTACGGAGGCGCAAACTTATACTGAATGTCAGCGTCTCGGTTCAGGTTGGTGTAAGAGTTTTCAGGTTGCTCGGTTTGCTTCTTGAGGCAAAATAGGCCCCGAATGACTTTTCTATCGTGTACCGTATCCTACAGTAATAGAAGAAATCGGCGATTTGCTCCATTCTGCATACCTAAGGTGGTATACAATATGGAATTTGAGTGGCCACGGAAGCTTTTCATAAAAGTGACTTACTACGGATCAAACGCTCGATACCTTTGAGACAACCTGTATGTGTATGCATATGCAGGCTATCGCCCACAGATTGAAGATAGGAAGAGTTTGGTCGTTATTACGCATTTAATTGTTACTCAACTGGGTTTTTGAAAAGGGAATGACCCGAGGTACAGTCAGTAGATTTCCTGCTTAATATAGTGCCCCTGCAGGACAACGGTTGTGCGTCGATAAATGCCATTGCGAGTTTCAGCTATTGTTTTGTTTTCTTTGTTTATTCTTTGCTTTTTAAGTGATTTGTAGCTGTTAAAGGAGCAAAAGGTAAGTTAGAGAGTAGTTTCTGTTTTTTGGGTAGTCAAATCATTGCCCATTCTCAGTATCTACGTGGAAGCTACTCGCGTCAGCTTCATGTGTATTTTTTGTTTGTTGATGCCTTTCACGTCAGTTTCTTGTGTATATTTTTGTCACCTGTTAGTCCTTCCTTCTTGTGAAGCATTTCTTTGAACGTTAGTAGGCTTTTACATATGACTTATATCGTCTTTATCACACGAACTAGACGATCAGATGCTATTTTTTTCTGAAAGGAAGTTGAAGTTGCTGCACAGCTTAGAAGCGTCCAAAGAAATGTTTCACAAGAAGAAACAAGCATAACATGAAAGGCAATACGCATGAAACTGACGCGACGTGGCTTCCACGTAGATTACTCAAGAATAAGCGGTGATACAACCACTCAGAACACATAAAATACTCTTCAACTCACCTTTTCTCCTTTATCAGCAACCAGTTACCTAAAAAGTAAAGAATAAAGCAAGAAAATACAAGAAAGCATTGCTTGGAAACTCGCAACGGCATTTATCGACGCACAACCGTTGTTGCGTCTGCAGGGACACTATATTAAGCAGGAAATCTACTCGACTGTACCATGGCCTTTCCATATGGGATCTTTATGAGGATACTCGTGTTTGGCTAATCTCAAATCCAGGTTTTCACGTTTTGTGCGAAGCAATTTTCTGGAAAAGGTTCCGAACGTTTTTGGAATTTGCGGGGCACTAACAGCAAGTTGCTTGCATTACGCCAATGATGTTTCGACATTGTGTTCCGACTAATTTGATAAATTCAATACATTAAAAACCATAAAAAACTCACAAGGCCCATTTTGAATCTTCGCGGTAGTGCAACTTCGTCATTGGAAAACGCTCATAACTTTCAACACGTTGACGACAATGTGACCCACATGGTGGGTCATGCAATGACTGTGGTTTAGAAGTTCTTTTATGCTTTACTCTTAGGAATTACTTCCGCGTTTCTTAGCTGCTTTTCAAAATCACTGTAGGGATACTGCAGATGACGGCCTGTTATATTTCAGCTAAATATACTCAACTTACTGTAGATGGGACTATCCCACAAGGCAGATAGCTAAAAATGCACACTGTCGTCAACGTGTCAAAATATGCAAATAGCGAACACAAATTTGAAGTCAGCATTTGAAGACGAGTATCTCCGTGTACACCACATACAGTTTGACTACGGTGACCTCGTCCCTCTGTTGTGAGATAGATCCACGATGTCTCGACAGCTTCACTGAAATTCCTGCACATGGTAGAGCATTCAACGTCAATTTCACATTGTGTTTTCAGTTCTATGTACTCATAACACTGAAATTCCTGCACATGGTAGAGCATTCAACGTCAATTTCACATTGTGTTTTCAGTTCTATGTACTCATAACATTGACATCGCCTTTCTCTCTTCTAACTGCTTTAGAATCTCTGAGTCTGACATCTTACCTCTGTTTGTTTTTGCATTTTAAATGTGAGGACAAAGCCTGTCACAGTATATGTTTCTAAATGCTGCATAAGAAATTTTAAAAATGTACCAGGGCTAATTAGGGTTATCTAGTACTTTTAAAGATCTTTCAGAAAATTATGATACTGTAATGCCGTCTTTGAAAGCTCTGAAGATTAGTCCGTCAAAGGTTGAATTAGGTATACCGTAAATCGGTAAATCGCAAGCCTTCTCTTATTCTCGAATGCACATCCAGTTCATGATTTGATGAATAATTTAAGGAAAAGATTCACCAACCCAATAGTGAAGAACGAGCTGCTGCAGATGAATAATGAAGCAACATTTCGTCAGTAACTTTTCGGAATTTTTACTGCAGTCATTTGTGTTCATAAACAAACTGCTTTGCACTTGATACTCCCTACGACGCTGAGTGACCGCTCAGTACTTTTCAAGAAGTGCATGCAGACAATTATCAGCTCCGCCTCAAAATAAAGATATTTTGCGAGATACGATCCTTATAAAAAGACGTTATCAACCTTGTGTCTTGAGTTTTAACTTTTTTAAAGTTATCCAAAATGTTTTTTAACTCAAAAAAAAAGAAAAAAACGGATGTGAAAGAGATGGAAATAAGAGTGGATGCGGAATGTCAGGAAGTCAAAACTTCCTATTTTTCTTCCTGTACCACTATGACTTTTTGTAATCCATGACTGTACGGGATATCTGAAGTGTGCGAAACGCTTTAACTTAAATGTCAATCTGGAGCCCTTCTTCTCCGAATTTTTCAGCCTTTTGAAATTAGTTTATGGTTTCAACAAAGTAGTGCAAATTTGGGGTATATAGCAAGGTGAATTATGCCTCGTTTCTATTCTTATCTCAGACATGCAGTTTTATTAATAACTGTTTTTAGGTTATGGTAGCATTTACCCCACAACCACACAGGGAAAAATTTGTTGCGTTGGTTACTGCGTCATTGGTATACCGCTAATCTTCTTGGTATTATCAAATAACGGCCAATTTGTGGTGGATGCATACTGGATTTTACGCAAAAGCGCTGGAGGCAAGGTAGCACTTAGCTTACATTATTTTGAAAATTTCAAGTTCATTTTCTAGGTGCAAGCCTCCAAAAGTCTGCCACTGTGGATATCAGCGCTGTTGTTTTGCGCGCATTCGCTTATGGGCGGTGTCATTTCTGTCAAGTCTTCAAATCGTAAACTACTCTTCCGAGCCTCTTAATGTCATGTAATCATTTGATTCGCAACGCAGTTTTTCGCAGGTCGAGCCCCGACAACATAGAAAAGGTTGCGCCATCGATCTGGAAATAGTAAATATCTTTTAAAAACGAAACATAAACAGCCGTTGTAGAACTCTGTCTATTGGAAGAATGATCAAAAAGTAAGATATGTAGATTTAGTGAGAAGAGATGCAATCACGCCCCACGCATATTATGCTAGCGTAAAGAACAGCGGAAGACACTAACTATAGGAAAAAAGTTCATGTGTACTTTTTTCACACACTCACTCACGTTAAGGGCAGTGGCTCGGCAGTTTTCATCTCTGAAAAATTCTCACTTACGTGAAATTATCCGAGGCGATGTTGCCGAAAATCCACCTTACAGAGCTTGAAAATGGCGAATCAAAATTCCGAGTTATTCAGTTTTGCCAATCCCCTGCCTTTGAACAGCTTTTCAAGCTAACAGACTTGTAATCATTGTGTCGAAAAAATCGACAAGGATCAGTAGCAATCATAGGCACAAACAAAGGCATCAACTACATACACCTGAAATTAATGGCAGAACAATCTACAATCTAGAACGGACGAATGTGTACACGAGAGAGAAAAAAGCAAGGGAAATGAAGAATTATTGAAGCAACGCCTTAGGACTGAGTAACGCCGTTCTCGCGCATATCGATAAGCGCGCTTTTCTCCTTAAGAAATCGTGCTGCTGATGCTATTTTGGGCTCGAGCAAAGAGGAGAGGAGGAGTTTTAAAAACACAATCTTACCATATGGTGAGTTTTAGGTGTAGAACAGATTTATGTAGATATTTTGAAAAACTCTTTTGGATTGGAAATTTTGCCTACCTCAGGTGAGCATTAGGTGGACAATAGCCCGCCTAACCTAAAAAAAGTCAAACGCACTCTTTCTTCACATAGGTTTCTTTAATTTTATGCTTTACTTCTTACAAACGAAGGATACTTGGTCGAAGTGGCATTCCATATGTACACTATCTTGTAGAAAATAAAACGCTGATTCCAAATCTGCTTTCTCTATCTGCAAAGCGCTTCTGGGAGAAAAGTTATGAGCATATTTTCATGCAGAAATTTGAAAGGGCGGTTACAATAAAATCATTCAAAACCGTGAGCTAGTCCGTGAGCTCAAATGGGACCATAATCACTACTAGGATCTTTTATGCAATAGATATATTCAATATAATAAACTCATGCCGTCACGATCTCAACACCTGCTTTTAACTTAGCCAAATCATTGTATTTTTATCTCAAAAAATTCCCAGAACTTTCCTCCCAGAAGCGTTTTGCAGATAAGGAAAGCAGGTTTGGAATCAGCGTTTTATGTTCTATAAGACAGTATACATTTTATATGGAAAAGCCACGTCGACCAAGTAGCCTTCCCTTGTTAGTCCCATCGCGCGTACACACACCAAGTTTCGTGCCATAATGTCATCTAAGGTTGCAAACAATCCGTTCTTTCGTTTTGTGGTAGTAGGAAACTTGCAAGAAAAAAAGCTTGCCACAACATTCAATCACAAACTTTTTCCATGAAACTTATTGAGTTAACTCCAATGTCCACGTAGTTACGAACATGTATGTCATATTGTCATCCGTACTTTGCAAACCAGCCGTTTGAACACGGACTTCCACTTTGATTACGGAAATTTTTTGAAAAAAGCTTAATGCACCTCTCATTTACATAAGATTTCATAATTTTCCCGTACCTTTTTCACGCTGAAATAAGTTCGCTGCCCAATTTGGTGACATATCTTTACGTAAGCACTGAGAACTGTCATATCGGCAGCTCCAAATGGCATCGATCAGTCGATTCGCGCTTGCGGTAGTGATTGTCGCGATTCGACGTGAGCGGATCTGTCGGCGTTGAGCTTTATGAGAATCACTTCTCAAAGAAATATTAGAATAAGGTCATAAGCATGGTTCGACCTCCTTTTGCTTGCACCTAGAATTTCTTCCGGGGTTTCTCCCAGACCCTGCAAAAATGATACCTCCTTTGCTTTTCGACCTTGAAAAGGCTTCCAGCTTGACATCTGCCCACCTCGTGCCGGACCCTATTTACATCAACCTATTAGTATTGATTACACAATAACTAACCTTTTTCAGCTTCATATCCATTGCAACTATTGGCTACGCTGATTTTGTTCCTGTGCCCGATTCGTGGTTCCAAGTGCCATCATTCTCACAACGCTAATTGACACTTTTAGCTACTATCTCAATTATGTGCATTACATTGGTCGGTGAGCAACGTCGTTGATTTATTCACAATTGATTTCAGTATTGCTTCAGTGTAAAAAATAAAGTCAGGATTTGAGATCTCAAATCTCAAAAATAAACAAAACCACGCAAGGTTTTGAAGAATTTCTACTTGTTTGTGTGGTACCCTAGTAACACTGAAATCAAAAAATGTTTTACAGAAAATTCACTGGTACAAAACATGTCCAAATTTGGTTTGGCGGAAGAATGCTCACCGTTTAAGAACTAATTAAAATATGAGGTAGCCATCAAATCTGAAAAGCTTCATTTCGCGCATTTCGATTGTAGACCCCTGCCGGTCAATGATGCCGCTCGGCCGGTGTTTGTAAGCGCTCGTTCGGCATCTTTCGATTGTATACTGCTCGGCCGGTTGATTGGTGGCCGCTGAACCGGTGATTGTGCCCGTCCGCCCGGTGATTCCAGATTGCAGGAAGCCCGCCCTGACAGAGTGCGCTCGGTCGGCGAATGCGGCCGCTTGTCCGGGACTCCTATGGTGGAGCGCCGCTCGTCCGGTACTTTTGTCTGAGTTGCTTGCCTTGTTGTATTCGCTGTTTTTGAATCCTATTGGGCGGCGGGTATCATCGTGCAAATAAGACCCCTGCATTACTCTGAAGGCCACTTGCTTACTGGGCGGCTTCTAGTCATCTGTCTTTTCTGGTATACAGTTCGCTGTGGCAGAGAGAAGGTTTCTCATTCCATAAACGTTTTTTGTTTTGTTACTCAGAGTAGTGCTTTCTTTTGCAAAAGCTTGCGCATATTGTTTTCTTTTCATGAACGTGCGGAATGGTCATTTTTTGTTGTCTTTGTTTTTGTGCAACCCTCATCCCTCATCCCAGCTTGTATAAGCTCCTGCAAGACGAAGGCGGTTGGTCGAGGTGCGACGTGGCTGTGACGCTGCTGTGACGCAGCCATGTCGCAGCCGCGTTGCACATCGAACCGACCGCCTTCGTCTTGCAGGAGCTTATACTAGGAGACGTCGGAATAATTGTGCGAACTCATGAGGGAGTTCGTTTCAGAACTCCCCTGGGATTCTGAAAATAGGAAGTGCACTGAGAACTCTTAAGATAGAGGCGATAGGGCACTACACTCCTATCGCCTCTATCTTAAGAGTTCTCAGTACACTTCCTATTCCGTGATCACTCGTCCTCATTTCAATACCCTTTTCCCTAATCTACTAATTGCAGCAAAAAGACCGGTTTTTATTAGAGCCACTACTACAAATAGAATAGCACTATCGCGCCATAAAGAAGCACAAATATAGTTCTACAACGTAAAAGAGAGAGAGAGAGATAGCCTCCAAACAATTCAATCACCTTGGAGATAGAGCTCGATTATTGCATATGACGATTACTGGAGTGGCTGCTGTACACATGCGAAACGTCGTAACTTGTATGCGCGAAATTCCACATAGCGTTGCCACTCCTCGACAAGCCAGTAAACCTGCCCTCGTCAGCACTTCCGATGCAGTGTTGCTTATGGGCACCAAGTGGTCATGCACCTTTCCCCCACACACGGAACCCTATAAATCCCTTGTAAATATTCATTTCTGAATTTAAAATTGCCACAGAGCTCGTTAGATTGGAAGGGATGAAACTTCACAACAGAAGAGTTAACGAAGAGTCAAATTAATTATCGGCCCTAGCATGGTAGCATCGAAAACCATATCCTTCCTCAAGGCAAAAAGTTATCTAAATCATCTGGACGTAGACTCGACAAGCTGACAATTTCTTTTCTAGCATTGTCTTCGTATAAGAAAAACTTTTCAACTACTTTAAATTCACGCGTATAAGGCGCACTTTTTCGAATTTTCAAACACCGCTCAGCCAGGATTTCTTTCCGAAATACTTGTAAAGTCCTTTGGCTTGTCCGGGCTGGTCGATTTTGGAAAAAAAATCCCGCGCGCCCTATACGCGTGGAATTAGGGTACTTTTTGCACATATCTGAGTAGAGTTGCACATTGCCACAAACGGATCCGGGTTTTGCAAAAAGTCTGGATACGAATGTAGTTGCGAGTAAGATGGCGCGTGAATTTGTTTGGAATGCGATTAATTGCTTACTTCTGCAAAACACAAATACAGTCTGCCCCAATCCTAACCAGGCCAAAATTGGCTTGGCGGGAGTGCGCGTCGCGAGCGTTTCGCGCCACTTCTGCGTCTAGCTAGTCTGCTCTCTCCTCAATCTCCCTCTCTGCGACAGTGCGCGTATGCAGCGAACCCCTAGCGCTGCGAGCGCGCAAATTCAGCCGACGGTTCAGCCTGATCCCGATTGGGGCAGACTATACCAACAAACACACACACATACCAGTGGCGTACCGAGCCCCCACCCCCGAGAATGGGTTGCGAAATTTTTGAAAGTCTAAAAGTGTGCTAGTGACTTGTCTATACTTAATCAATTAAAATGGTTTTTAAAATTTTTGAAAACTTCATTTAGCCTTATAAAAAGATTTTTCGGGCGTTGCCGCGCCACACCCCTTTTTTGGCCCACCGACACACACATATATACAGGCCCCGTAAAATCCATTTGGCCACGCTTCGCTTTGAACACCATCGCGCGGCGCGGCTGGAAACGTTTGGTCCGAAGCGCTACAGGATTTTTTCGAGCGACAATGAACGCGCACCCTTTCCAAACATATTTTTTCAAACTTTTGAAGGAGCTTTCGTCAAGATATATCTTGCACTGACGAGAACAACAGAAAGTCAAAGAAAGATTTTCTGGAATATAGTGAACACCGACA